GTCAATCATGCTCATGTACGCTGCTAATTGTGCTAATGGTGGGGAAACAACTCACAGTTCCAATGTCATCCTTGACCATGCCAACTGACCCTAGCATTCGTGGAAGGCTACATTTTGGTGAACTCGCTGTAGCCTAGCAGAGAACAAGGGAAGGGGGTGAATGACAAGTGCACAAGAGTGATTGATTTGTGTCACAGACTGTATGTCTTATAGTATACTCTCACAACATAAAGATAATAATTTCAACATTAATAAAAGTTACATACTGCAGCTTTAAGCCTCCAAGCCTGTAAGAAAAGAAAAAAAAATGAAGAGGAAAACTTTCTTTCATCTGCTCTCTGAACCACATTCAGCCTATTAACCAACTTTGGAGAATTAAGCACGTGTGTGCACTGTACCATGTACTGATGCCCAGATGTCTGGGGCTTGCTGCCAGCTCACCCACCAACATCAGTGTTCTGTCACTTTGATGAAATTGCTTAAATGGTGTTCAGAGGAAATCACAAACTGCACTGGACATTTTAAATGGACTTCAGAGCTTTTCAGAGTTTTTTTTTTTTTTTAAACCTTACTTAAAACATCCTCTTATCTATAATACTACGTCAATGGGGGAGATAAACAGTACATTGTGGATGCTTGTTTGTGCATGGATTACTACCTAAGAAATGTGGTTGGAGGGGGCTATATAGTGAAAAAAGAAGCCCTCTTTCTGTAGAGTCTGAGCTGATGACAAACTAAAACACATATTACATGGCAGGTAACAGCATGCTCAGAGGAATGCCACTTATTCCAACTCAGTGATTTACTCAGTCATTATCTCAGTCACACTTATCCTCAAACACAACCATTCTGAAACCTCCGTTTCAATCCCTACTCCCCCTACAGACCCAAATCACAGAGGGGGCAAACTTGTGCTTGCATTTCCAAGCAGTGACTAACTCAAAATTCAGTTACAGTCCCTTGCAAATTCATACCACTTCCTTAAACATTTTCACAGTACTAATTTCAAAGTACTTTACTGAGATTTTATTGATAGACCAACTCAAAGTAGAGTACTGTCTTGAAGTGGAGGTTTTATGGATTTACATTGATGTTCCACAGTTTTGCATTTCTTTTCATCCCCAGATTCAACACATTGTAGACGAACCTTTCGCTGCAATTACAGCTCTGAGTGTTTTGGGGTATGTCTCCACCAGCTTTACACATCTAGAGACTGAAATGTATGCCTATTTTTCCTTCCAAAAAAGTTTAAGCTCAGTAAGACTGGACAGAGAATATATGTGACACAAATTCCTACCTGGGTTTAGGTGTGGGATTTGATTAGGCCATTCTAACAAATGAATATGCTTTCATCTAAACTATTCCACTGCCTCTGGACAAATTGTTAAAAAAGTTCGAGTAGAGTGGATATTTTTGTTATGGATTAGAAGGGGCCAACTTGCCCATGCATTGCCAAGCATTGTGCCACTGACAATTCAGCTATACGGTTTTAGATATTGCTTAACATGAGGAATCCCCATTAGTTATATATGTGTTCGCATGACAATTAAAGGTTGCGTGCCTGCACAGCTATAGATCACTGAGTAGATGACATCTGTGCATACCTCAGTGTGTGGCTTTACAAACCTGAGACCCAAAGTGCCCCAGGGCAGCTGTTAAAGGAGGTCCACTGGATTTTATCTTCCTTTGGCTTAAATGACTCTTTTTCTGGCCTAATACCATAATAATTACCCACGGCTGCAGGGGGTGCACTTCTGATGCGTCGCTGGCAGAGGGAACAGAAATTAAACAGAGAGGAAATGAGTATGGGGAATTAAGGCAGCCTTAGACATAGGCCAACTCTATGTGTCAGAGGCCGACACCTTGATCTGAACGGAGCCTTGTCAAAATGATTCTTTACACCCAATGTTGGTTTGGATTCTTCTCTTTTCAGCTGTTACAAACCCATCTCAAAGCTTCCTTTCCTGCCCAAGATTTTAGAGAAGGTTGTAGTCAAGTAGATAACCACTTCTCTTGATCAGTATAGTATTCTGGACTACTTTCAGGCAGGTTTTTGTAAATCCCATTCAACTGAAATGTTTCTTCTTAGAGTCTCACATGATATTTTGATGCAGAGCAATGCAGGTACATTTTCCTCAGTCCTCAGCTTTTAATATTATTAATCATCCATCTCTGGTAAAAAGGCTAAATATTTAATGGTGTTTCAGGTTTTGCTTTAAAATGGTTGTCCTCATACCAACAGATTAATCTTCCTGGCTACCTACTTACAAATCAAATTCAAATCTTGCTCAATTTGGTGTTCTACAGGGTTCAGTTTTGGAGCCATTGCTGTTTTTGCTTAATGTGCTCCCTTTTGGTCCCTCACTGTTATATTTTAAAAATCTCTACTATCATTGCTATGCAATGATATACAATTTTATTTTTCTTTTCTTACAAATGTAGTTTCAGAACTACACAGTTTACTAAAATGTCTAGATCTAAAGAAGGGGGATTTTTTCAGTACTGTATGTGACAGATCACTGATAGGAGCTGATAAAAAGAAGAAATATATTTTGTATTATATCAACATATAATTTAGCAGCAATAGAGACCTTTTTTTTACCTTAAATAAGTCAGTTTTTCATCATTATATCTCAGTGCACACACTAAAGTACTGTGGTATTTTTTGTTCATACCAAAATAACTTTATGCCTATTTGGTCTTTAATCTTGTAATGGGTAGAGACACAGAGCTCAGCAGCCAGTAGTTGGTGCTTTAATGAACAAGAATGACTAGGTAGTAAAAGCTTTCTTTCATGAATTACTGACAGAGTTTTTAACCCACTTAAGTGACAGAAAACATCTGGGTGGTCTGTGTTTGTATTTTTTTTTCTCATCTGTGCTCAACATTGACATAGTTCGAAGCAGCAAGCATGAGACCAGCAACCTGTGAAAGTCAACAAGAGCTGCTATTGTTAGACAAAAAAAAGATGCTCAAGGGAGACTGAAAAATATGAGATTCCCAAAAAGAAGAAGACAAAATCTGTTTTTTTTTTCTTCTTTAGAGCAGCATTTCCAGGGTGTGGGACAGCATGGATGGAGGGAGGGATGGGGGGGAGAACTGGGCGGAGATAAGCTCTTTGCACCTGGAACCAAGCCTTTTAATCACCGCAGCGCAGCTGTGTGATATGCTGCACACTACACCCAGTTCTATCAATTACAGGGCACATTATGGGTTGGACTGTAGGCTAAAGGTAGGGAAACAGCAGCGCATGATAACTTTGTCACTTCCAAACAACAGACCCAACCAGGATATTTAAAAAATAGTAGAATGAAAAAGAACGAGAACTGAGAAAACCAAAAGCAACATTGAGGTGGATACAGAAAGGAAGCAACAAAAAGAAAAAGCACTGAAAGTGACACAGTTAGCTCAGGTTGTTGAGGTTGAATTCAATTTCTGTCTTTGGCAGATGGAACTTTCCCCAGGTGAAACACAGCCCTCATTAATACGCCTTTGTATTGCTGTAGTGGCAGTATCATGCTTTGGGATTGTTTTCTTCAGTAAGTAAAGGGCAGCTTGTCAAAAGGAAAGATAGGTGGAGCTACATACAAATCCAACGGAGAATAGGGAAAATACCAAGTACTAGTTGACAACTGCAAGTCTAAATACACACCACACTTTTCAGATTTGCTAGTGAAAATGTTGAAAACTACTCCATAAATATGTGCTAATTTATATTTGAGCTATCACACTAAATAATAAATGCTGCAATATGTGTGAAAGGCCATGGGGTGTGAATACTTTCACAAGGCACCATAGTTCAGGTTTAAATGTCTGCTGTGAGTCAGAGCTGCTGGTGAAGGAAGAAAAGCACAGAAAGAGACTCAGGCTCCACCCTTCTCCCCCTCCCTCCAAAAAGGTAAAAGGCAGGGCTGTAATTCTCAACTTCCAGGATTCTGTATGTGTGTGTGTGTGCGTTTACATATATTTCAATATCATACAAATGGAACTAAGCAATCTGCATGCAAGGATTCTAGATTATTGTGATGATTAAAAAAGAAAATTAATCATCACAACAAATGTATGAACAACAAATGATAAAAAGACAACAAAAATAACAACTGGACCATTAAAGATGAGCATCAAGCGCACTATATAAATAGTCTTCTATGGGTAAACCATGACCAAAGTTTGTTTGATACAGAAATACAGGTTGGATTTTAGAACTACTAAGTGTTTCTGGCAGCACCAAAGCAGAGCTGAGGGTGGAGGCTCAGTGCCAGCAAGGGAGACATAAATCCCAAAGATCAGACATCAAAGAGCTGGAAAACAGCCTGATCTTGATCCAGAGGTATGGTCTTCACAATGAAAGGGACTTCTAAATCCGAAGGGAGAGATTTACTGAGGAGATTTTAGGATTTGGGAGTATTTTCTTTATGGGTTTGTGGTACTTTTTTAGCAATTAAAAATTATGAGTGATTAAAAAAAAAACATTTATACAACATTATGTTGTTGTTGTTTTTTAATTTAGACACTACTAGGTGTTCATTGACTGAAGCCCTCTGAAGTAGCAGGAGTAGCATGCGAAAACTCCAACCACTTCCACCGAGAGTCACCTTTCACACTTCAACCAATCACTTCACGCTCAGCGGCTGCGCAACTGCAGCTACTTTTTATTGCCAATTCCGAGTGGAAATAAACGAATTCCGTTCAGCGCACAGATGTGCCTGCTTCTCCACTTGTTCTTTTTGTCTTTTGTATAAACTCCAAAACCGAACAGGTTACTTAACAGTGAGAAACTGGGAACCGAATCAAACCACAGCGAGCGGAAAAGAAGTTGCCACAAACCGCGGGCGAAACGCAACGCGGCGTGTACAGACAGGTTCGGTGTCGCTCTCAAAGTCGGAGTCAGTGGAGCAGAGAAGTGGGGAACTTACAGCCTGCAGGCACGAAAATCCAACCTGCACCAGTTCACATCAAGTTAAAGTTTGTTGTTGTTTTTTTTAAAGTAGCGGACTTACCTTGAATTATCCAGAGGAGCAAGGTGCACAGCGGTATTCTGCGTCCCAACCTTATCCCGGCCATGACTGCGTCTTCAACTTTTTTTATTTATTTTTTTTAACAAAGTGCTCACTTTGTTTTTATTTATTTTGGGGGGGGATGAAGAGTCTGTAAATCTGACCCAGTAGTAAGTCTTTCGCTTCTTTCAATGCTCCAACGATGTTTTCCCTCTCCGTATCTCTCTCTCCCTGCGAAATGAACGCCTCTCTCTCTATCCTCCTCTCTCTCTCTCTGTGTTTCTCTTTCTCTCTCTCTCTCTCTCTCAGAAACCTGATTCGAGTGGCAGTCTAGTTGGTTGATATATTTGCACAAAAGGTGACCCCCTCTTCTCCAAATACAGCCCCCTCCTCTCTTTTCCTCCCTGCCTCCTCCCCTGCCAGGCTCTCCACCTCAGTTAAAATGAAAAGACTTGGTTGACTAATCGCGTAGGTCTGCTGGGGGCCCGCGGGACTGCTTTAAAGAAAGTTAAAAGTGATTTTATCATGAGGCTGGGTGACTCATAGCAAACCCTAAAACTGTAGCTGCGCTTAAAATATTAATAACTAAGTTTCTTTGGGAAGATCTAGATTGTGTAAATCAGTTTGCTGCTGCTAACATCTTAACATCACATTAAATGCACTCATGGAACTGAGAAGTGTAAGATAAGTGCGGTTCTTGCGTGGATGACGCCCTGGGCAAGCCCCCTCCTAAATAAGCAAAGCATGCAATTCTGGATTCTGTGTCTAAAACATGTTGGAGGGAGACCATGTTCACCTGGACTATATTATGAACTTGTGCAAGATAAAAACAATAATCATAGTCTCAGCTTTACCTTCACATTGAGAAAATATGAAATAGAAAAGAATATTTAATATTACTATTTTCTTATTACAAACATGGGAATAGAAGCCCTTGAGAGTATGCTGGAAAGTGTTTTTACTTTATTTGCCTTTGTTTCAAGTATAGCGATAATGAATGCTATTTTAAAAATATAAATTCTAACTCAGTTTATAAACCCTGCCTGGTGGACCGACTTGGAATAATAATAAAAAATGCATTAAAGTGATGATTTTAGCTTAAAAGATAACTCTCAGTTCCCAAGAGCCACGCAGAGGACAAATGCCAATATCACGACAATATATTGTCACAGAGTTTAATGATGATGCAGTACTGCTACAAAGAGCCTACAACTATACTAATTACCGTTATCTATTAATATATTTTGATTGTTTTATTATTTTGAAGTATATGTTTTATTTGGAAGTTATTTATGTAATAGCGTGACAGTAAAGTGAAAAATACTGTTGCAAATAAACTTAATTATATATGGAGATGTGAACTGATTAACTGCTGATTAAGTATGAAATTGGAAAAGAGACCATTTTGCATTTGTACACATGGGAAATCATCTCCATCTAATAATGGTGGAGGAGAGTTCATTTTTACAGGTACTCTTACTGTTGGAGGGATTATATATATATATATATATATATATATATATATATATATATATATATGATGGTTTGGCAAAATAATCAGTTTATTTATTTTCAATCATTTTATCCCACAAAATAAGGAATCTCGTTTGTTACACTTTTAACAACATCAACCTTTTTTTTCCCAGATGTTATTCAGAAAGATTGTTGGATCAAATGGACACAAAGCTCTTCAAAGCATGTTAAGCTGTCCGTCATTGTCTGACATGCTATTCATTCCTAGACACGTAATCCCTCCTGAATTTGTTGGGGTATTTACAGGGTGTGTCCAGAAGGTCCAACAAGCTTAGTTTATCTTATTTACAATACTGTATTTATGTCTCTGTACTTGGACTTTGTATAATTTGACTCACAAAATTAACATAACAAAACCTATAAGTTTGAGACTGGACAACATAACTGGCAATTGTTCCAGCATCACCCAGTGTAATAAAACCAGCATACACTTCAGTGGACAACGCAGATATCCATCTCATTGTAGTTTCCTCCGGCTCGACGCTATGGTATACTAAAGCATCGACGTGGCCTTCAGGTTATAAAAATCCTACAAAGAGCGGTTGCATTCAAAGACATGCATTCCTAACATAGCTGGCCCATAACAGCTGGCTAATATTTTCTCAGCCCTGTTTGAAGAAAAGCTATACCAGCAACCTGTTCCATGTCACCAAGCGCACACAGCAGTCACATCTTAGGATGGGATCTGTTAGCTGAGCTCCCAAGAATGCGCACTCACAGCTGCACTTCACATAGAGGACACTGGGAGGAGAGTATAAATCTACCGAGAGTTTATAGGGACATAGACGAGAGGACCATCTAAAACCCATTCTTTCTCTACAAGTTGTTCATCCTGTCTATTCTTGGATTTAACAGCAGGAGAAAGAGGCGAGTCTTCCCAGCAGCCTCCGAACATCAATACAGCCAGTGATTCCTAATATTGACCCACTCATAATCATCTCTCCGTGCTGTTGAGACATAAGATCCACTAACAAGTGTCCTGTCCTGTGGTGAAGGACTTTGCACAGCATGGTCCTTTTTTCCTGCCTTACGTAAGACCCTGTATCATGCTGCATCGCTGTGGAGAATGCTGATTTAGCCAAGCATGGGCAATTTTTTTTTTTTTTATGTAAGGCTTTTAGTCATACGTACAGTAGCAGTGATTTACTGTGCTGGTTCATTACCTAATGGATCTGCAGTAGTGGAGAGGAGTGATGAGGACAGAGCTGGGAATGGAATTGGATTGTAGATGTAACAGCGGAGGAGAAATGAAGGGAAAATGTACCCGATAATAGAGGACATAGACTGATTAAAAGAGGTACGTAAACACGGACGTTCCAGGTCACTTTCTCAGGCTTGTCTGGTGAGGCACGTGAAGCAAAGTTAAGACATCAAAAGGAAGAAGCTAACGATTTAATTATGCCAGTCATGTGACATTTCATAAAGTCACAGAGGGAATCCTTCTTCAGGGAAACGGATGTCTGTGTAAAGGGCCTTGTGAAAGTATTTACAACCTCCAAATCTCACAAACACAAAGTTGAACATAGTTTCGGGGGGTTTATATTGAGACTAGCACAAAGTAAAATAAATGTACATCAGGAGTATTCTTGAAAAAAAAAAAACCTACTGAGTAAATGATCAGATTTGATATTTTATAATGTCACCAGACAAAAAACATAATTATGTGCAAAGTCTGATAGACTAAAATGAAAAGATGAATACAAATCAATAATAACCTTTATTTAACCAGATTTATCCCATTGCGGCAGCTTACAGTAGGCAATAGATATATATGAGAAAAGGGTAAAAGTGCTTCCAGTTACAATGTATAGTGTTTACGGTATATTCACTCCCACATGGCAGTATAACCGGTTCAGCAGACAGGAAATAGCTTTAGAACAACAAAGACTGTGTGCAAACAAGAAGGTTCACTTTAACTTAAGCTCCAGGTTTAGAATAAGTACATTTTTGGTTTAAACATGTTTGTTCCTCATTCAGTGAAGTTATTCACTGTCAGGAGATTATCAAGAGGTTTTTCTCAAGTATTATAATACTCTAAAATAAAAAGTACAGTGTAGTAAAACTATATATATATATATATATTTTTTTTTTTGTTTTTTGTTTTTTTTTTAAAGTTAATCAAGTAAATATAAGGCAATGTAACTAACTATGGTAGTTAGTAATCACCTTTGTCTGTTAAGATGAGTTTCTCTCCTAGAAGAAGCCACTGAAGGAGCCACCACTACCACTAACTTCCTACTTTTGACTCGATGCAATCTCCCAGGTCTCCTGTGATGGAAAACTATTTTTAACCAATTTGAATAATAAACTGAATTTGACTGCATTGTTTGATAACTAGGTTAAATTGACTTTCTTCTATGTAAAGCGTCTTCAGATGACATTTGTGAAATTGATTCAATTGCCACTCTATTTTCAGAAGATTAAAACTACTTTGTAAGATGTTTTTTTTTTTTTTTCAGTGTTAAACTTCTACAAGTATGAATTAAAGGTAATGATTATTTTTATCTTGATCAGAAGTATTTAACACCACAATGTGCATTCTATAAAAATCTGTATTGTGACTTTCTTCCACTGACGCTACTACCAAAGTTTTGCTTGCTTTGCTTGCTTTCTTGCCTTTTAAATCAAACCGGGTGCCTTTGTCTCTAAAAGTTGCCTGAGTTCTGTTTTCTTCCTTAATCCATCCATTTCTCTTCTGCTGACACAGAACCAGGCTGCAGCTGAACCACACCGAGCCATTCCACATGCCTCTCTGCCTTGGTATGTTCCCAGGGCAGGTGGGCTTTAATCACCTCAGTTTCCTTCAAACAGACATGTCCTGAATATCTCCAGCTGAGGTAGATCCAGAGGGCATTCTGCTTGAAATCCCATGTCTATGCAGCTTACATCTTCTAACGCGAAAAAGGATCTATCCTGCTCCGAGTGATATATGTTCAGGCTAGTCTCTCTTTAAAATAAATTTGACCCAGTTGAGCAGATCATGTTGTTTTTCTCCAGAGTTCTTATGCACAGGACGTGTTCAGAATGCAGATCGGCTGAACGATTTAAAGTTTTGCTTTTAGCTTCAGTTCAACAGTCAGGTGCATTGCATCAGCGCTGAAGTCACAACAACCTGCTTGTAAATGTCAGGCTTCATCTTCCCATCAGTGATGAGTAAGACTATGTGGTATTTGATCTCCCTCTCCTGGGGCTTCCAAGCAGAGGAGGGAAAATCCTCTAATTCTCAGAAATACATAATGGGCTCTAAGGGTGTTTTCACCCAGTTGCTTCACATTCAGCTACAGTCTTACAAGTTTTCTGAAGGAGCCAGACTCAATTCAATGAGATTCTCAGCTTAACTTGTTTGCAGTTTAAGTCAGCAGTTTATTCTCATGGTGAACATATATTTAATTTGCGCTTTTAATCATCATCATTCCAGCTTGGAATGATTACACAGGCTTAAATATGTTAATATAGCTTTAGTATTATTTGAGTAAATGTCTTGGCAAGCCGCACCTCAACCACATATGTTGTAGCTGTTAAACATCTGGCATAATCCAGGCTGGATTTTTGGTGAAGAACATT